GCAAGCATGATTGTACATCCAAAGAAAGGAAGCAACAAGCAACATGCCTTTCCTCTTTGTAAGTTCCTCCCCCTCTCCTCCCCCCCCCCTCCTCCTCCTGACTTTTTCTAAACCTCCACTACGTCCCAGGCTGTTTTTAGGAGCCTCCCAAGCTCTCTGCCGGCCAAAAAAAGGAAGAGAAATCAAATTGGCGCAGGCGCCCTTTTTCTTCGTTCTGGGTGCCGACGCCTGCCATTGTGGTCTGGTAGCCCTGAACCCCAAAAACGTTTGGGAAGGGCCATGCTCCCCTGTTGTCCAAAAAAAAAAAAAGAATCCGCCACCAGAACATGGAAAGTTATACCGCCATATTTTTTTGTCTTTTAGTGGAGCGAGGCCCAATATATGTTTACTCTTGCTTGATGTGCCTCGATTTGAGGCCCAATATATATGTATATATATTAATAACTACGCTATATTCTTCTCTCCAATCTTTTATCATCTTTCTTTTTTTTTTTTTTAATTTGGATGCGTGTCATCCTTGCGCAGGGGCCATGCTAATCTTTTCTCTGTATTGTTCCAATTTTAACGGATGCCCCGAAAGACATTTTATCATCTTTCAATGTGCCTGGGGCGTGTAGTGCTGGTTTAAATGACTTTTTGAAATTTTTGTGAAATTTTTCATTTTTGTAATGATTGATTTTGTACACCCTGACATCCCCAGCTGAGTGAGCTTCTGGTTGTGGCAGCCAGATCTGTGTCCCAACAGCACAGGGCCTGTCAGATGTCTGGTAGGAGTACTAACCTGAGGCCTCGCTGCACTACTCTCGAAATGTGCAAAACGAGAGTGAATCTTCCACTAGAATATGGAAAGATACACGGCCATGATTTTTGTCTTTTGTGCATTTCAAGAGTAGTGCAGTGAGGCCCCTGGTGTAAGGGCATTTACTCGTGCATGGACTTTTTGCTTCTCGATTTATGCGTGTCATCCGTGCGCAGGGGCCAATTGCCAATTATACCCTTCTCTGTATCGTTCCAATTTTACGGAGGTCCCGAAGGACTGCATGGACTTTTTGGACTCAGTTCTGTCCGTAATTGCGGTCAGATGCATCCATGGTGGGCCACTATTGTGCCCAGATTGATACTAACCTGGTGTAAGGGCATTTACTCATGCACAGACTTTTTGGACTCAGTTCTGGCCGTAATTGCGGTCAGATACATTCATGGTGGGCCACAATTGTGACCAGATTCATACAGGAAAATGCGAGTGTGCGTACGCTACTAAGTAAGCAAATTCCTTGGTAGCAACTGCAGCAAAGTTTTGCTTTTGAGAGTTATTTCAAAAGCTGAGAGGTTCGAGCTCAAACCATGGGTTGTCTTGGGGATTGCCGGACTATAATGTCTTGTTCGGAGTTCGAACCCAGGTTGAAATAAGTGTTACGCTGTGGCTTTTAAGCATTTATATGGAAAGAAGATGTGACTAAAATGCTTCTCCCTCCCCCCACCCCCCACTCCCCCTCAGCAAAAGAAGCCCTGAAAGAGAATCACAGGAAAAGAATACAAAAGAGAGAATAGTGCGACTGTCACCTTGGCTGCGAAGCACTACTAACGGGGTCACTTTTTCCAACTGCCTCTTGGTGGTGTGGGGGGGGGGGGGGGGGTGCGGAACACCCTGCGTCTGTTTATATGCGAGGAAGGTGAACGGCCAAGCCACAGGGCAACACAAAGGTGCGGGTCTCAGGAGCGACGACGTTAAGGGAGGGCCACGAGATCCCTTAATACCCAAGTCGATGGCTGATGATCATGGTGGGGGTCAAGGTAAGCTTTGTGAATGCCCGTCTCTCCTGGTCGGGTGCATGCCGAACACGGCGAACAGTAGAATGTTTTCACAGCTAAGTGTTTTCACTCACTTCTTTTTGCAGCCAAGGCTTTTCACTTCGTTTCACCCTTTTGTGTTGTTTACTGTGATCACGTTTCTAATGTTCCATGGGCTCTTCATGATGTATATTGGATTGACATGACTTGAGCTCGTGACCCTTTTCTATTACAAATTTATGGTAAGCTGCCTGCTTGTTGTAAGATACGTACATGTGGTGACTTGCACTGGCTGCTTATTATCTGATTGCAGATGGTGAGGAGCTTTATGCTTTCAGGTGCTTCATTCTGTATCTCTTTGTCCCTCTCTGTCTCCCTCTGTCTCTATCTGTCTCTCTGTCTTGGGTCGGTCGGTCGGTCGGTCGGTCGGTCAGCCGGCTGACCCGTCGGTCGGTCTGTCGGTTTGTCCGTCCCTCCGTTGGTCCATCTGTCAATCCATCAGTTTGTCCATCAGTTTGTCCATCCTTCCATCCTTCCATCCTTCCATCCCTCCATCCCTCCATCCCTCCATCCCTCCATCCCTCCATCCCTCCATCCCTCCATCCCTCCATCCCTCCATCCGTCCATCCCTCCATCCCTCCATCCCTCCATCCCTCCATCCGTCCATCCGTCCATCCGTCCATCCGTCCATCCGTCCATCCGTCCATCCGTCCATCCGTCCATCCGTCCATCCATCCATCCGTCTCTCTGACTCTCTCTGACTCTCTCTGTCTCTCTCTCTCTCTGTCTCTCTGTCTCTCTGTCTCTCTGTCTCTCTGTCTCTCTGTCTCTCTGTCTCTCTGTCTCTCAAACAAGTGTAAGCTTTGCTACGCAAACGTTATGAGTTCTGCAGCCAATGTTAGAAGAGTGGGAGGGAAGGAATGAGATTATTGAACCATGTGACATCGGGTGTTTAGTAAACTCAACGTCTGTTTGTGGCATGGTTCATTTCTCACAGCTTATCCCCAAGTTGAAGACAGTAGTCGACAGTCGACGGAAATCCAGGCTCCATGGGGTTCCATTCTTCAGAAAAAGCCAGTTGTGACTGTCCCTCCGATGGTCCTCAAAGACCAGCCATCACCGCCAAACTACTGGTCAGATTTGGCAATGCAGATATGGGATGGTACGCTCCCTCTCTCTCTCTCTCCCTTTCTCCCCTTTGCCATGAATTTTTGACTTAAAATGGCTGCCTTGTTTGACTTGTAGTCGCAGTCTTCTGTGACTTTTAATGGCTCCCTTGTTTGACTTATAGAAGCTGCCTTGTTTCACTTATAGAAGCTGCCTTGTTTGACTTAGAATGACTGTCTTGTTTGACTTATAATGGCTGCCTTGTTTGACTTATACCAGCCTTGGCTTCACCCTGTGGGGCATCCGTTCACATTGGAATGATATAGATCGATTCGCCTGGCCCGTGTGCAAAGATGACACAAACACATATTTTGAGAAATGGTCGAAATTAGGGGCAGAAAAAAAGAAAAGAACGGAAAGGAGCCACTGGTTGTCCCCTCAGATTCTCAATCGTCTGTCAAGAAATGTCCCAACATCTATCTGTGTGGAGTCCCATGCAGCACCGTTTGCGTTGTTGATGTGTCCTGTGTGACTATGTTCAAACGTCGAAGCAAAAAAGAGGCCAACTGTTTTGAGAGTGTATTTATTTATTTTTATTTATTTATTTATTGAAGGGAGACAGCCTTGAGAGATATCGTTGTCGAGCTGAGCGGCCCCAGCAAGTACTGCAGAATTATTGGATTTCGTTTATCTAGTTCCATGAACTTCCATCGTCTGGATTCGAACCCGGGTCTGTATTTCAACAGCTCATGGTTGTACCAACCGAGTTACGCCCGTCAGGTTATTGTTTTTCTTCAAGCCTTTGACATTTGCGGACGCTTATGACTCGGCTTATCAACAGTCAGGAAAAAAAAAGTCAGAAAAAAAAAGTAAGTGACGGTAGTGTGTACTGTGCCATGTGATACTGCATACCATCATGCAGTCTTCCTTGAGAATAGAGGGAGGGTAAAATAAATTTAATAAATTTAATAAGCCGAGGCAGTGGAGGCTCATGAGCATGAGTTCCATGAGCCTGAGTTCCACAAAGGACCTTCGGAAGTGATGGCTGTGCGTCCTGCCTGACCTGACCTGCTGCTTCTTGAGCTGGTTCGAAACCCTGACAACTGAGCCGCTTTGGAAGCTTTTCGCTCCTTTTTAAAATCATTCCGTTCAAGCCGCATGGGCGTGGATTTGAACTCAAGACCTGTTAATTAATAGTTACATGGGTGTACCCTTCAGCTGCATGGGCTTGGTTTCGGCTTCGGAACCATGGCTCGGGGACAGAGATCCACCCTCGCTGATGCTGAACAGAGATCCACCCTCACTGAGGCTGGCGTGAGTTGGGTTGGTACCAGGGTTCAAAACCATGCATGGTCGGGGAACTCGTGCAGAGCTCAGGTGGAATGGTGGTTCTGAAACTGGTTCCCAGTGGTGATTCACTCTTTTTTTTTTTTTTTTTTTTTAAGTCGGATTTGAGGTACGGAGCATAGTTGCGGCGCACCTCGGTGCGCGGATTTGCGCACGAATTGCGCACCGCACAGCGCACCGAAGCGCAGCGCACTGGAAAAATTAGGTCCACAAAAAAAAAAAAAGAGAGTAGGTGTTTTGTAATTTCTTAGGGCCCCCAACTTGGCAAAATGTTAAACTCACCGCGCGAGCTCAGAAACCGGCCGCGCCCCAAGCTTGAAATTTTCTTTTGGGTAACTGCTGCCAAATTTCGATTTCCGTAGGCCCTTCTGCCAAAAGTCTCAGAATGGCGAAGCATAAAATACTTAAAAAATAGGGCTCATTCCATCTTTTTTTTTAGGCGGGGTATGAAAGATGTTCTTCCCGCTCCCTTCTGCAAATCCCACACAGTGGTGGGGTAAGTT